AACTGTAATAAAAGCCCACCAAATTTTCTTTTATGTGGAAAACGCTAATGATTTCAGAGAAGTTAGAAGTATCTTGCAAAAGAAAAATATTCCATTTTATGTGTATCAACTTAATTTCAATAAAAATGTAAGAGCGGTTCTGAAAATCTCCCCAAGTTCTGTTGATGAAGAGGCTATCTTTAATGATTTCAAAAGAAGAAATTATCCAGTTATCAAACCCAGGCAATCCATTAAAAAAAAAGAGAAAATTTCCTTTATATTTCCTGGAACTAAAGAAAAACACTGCCCGAAATTCTATCTTTTAGCTTAATAATATGTTTAGTGTAAATGGAATTATTGAAAAAGTACAAACCAAAAAAGAGACCATCTGAATGTTACAAATGCCCAGAATATGGTCATACTCAATATGCTTGCGAATGTTACAAATGCTCAGAATACGGTCATACTCAATATGCTTGCTATAAAAAACCATGTTGCTACAAATGTAGTCATGTAGAAGTAAATGCTGCTATCTAAAAACCTGAAGTAAATTCATTTTACTTCCTCTTGTATTTTGATAATACTATCTATGACAATGGCTATAACTACTATCAAGGCCAGATGAAATTCAAAAACTCTTAACGGTTTAAGAACTCGGAAAAAAAAACATAAAAATTTTCCAAGGAATATTTTTCTAGCCCTTAGTAGAAGATCTATAAATAATCAAGAAAATGGTTTCCAGAAGAAATTATTTTACAGTAATATTCTAAAAAGTAAAGTTAAGACTCTCCTCTTCCTGAAAATCTTTTTGCTGCAACTAACTGGATTAAAGATCCCAAAATTCAAAATTTCTTACACAATATTATTTCTGCCATTCAGTGAATTAAAGGAGCAAAAACTGTAGCTGAAAAGTTCATTGCCTGTTTCCATGCAACTCAAATGCTTTGCAGAACAAGATAAATAAATGCAAATTTTTGCAGCTGACAGGCTGGCATCGAGGTAGAGTGCAGGTCCAGTTCTCATTTCCTTTTGCTACTGGGCTGGGGCCTGGCTCATGAAGTTCATACTTAATCCTGAAGTTATTTTTTTTTTCCTTATCATTTACACTTTCTTTCTTTCTTTATTTAGGCTCACTTGGACTCATGATGAACATAGCCGAGGTCTTAAGTTCCTAGGCCATTACTTCGAACAATATTATGACTTGACCTGACCTCAAGCCATTCTTTTCAGCTCCTGTTGACGAAGCAGACATTTTATCTGAGAAAGCTTCTACTTTTACTTGTATATAGATGTGGTTTCAACCTGTCAACTTAGAACATTTTATTTCATTTTTAACTCCATTCTAACCACATATGCCTTTTAATTCTGAAAAATTTATTGAGTTGATATGACATTTTAAAAATGTTAAAAATTTCCAAAATGGACGGATGTCTAAGCAGGCAGTATCTTATCTCTTTTAGATACACAAAGTTATTAAAAAATGACTGATCCTGTCGTAGATGGCTTTGTTATTAAAATTTACATGTGTAGAGTGCTAAGTGCCTTTTGAAATGAAAGGAAAACTCTCCAAGTTTGAACTATAACTACTGGTCATCCAGAAAGTTTTGCAGTTTTTTTATGAGTATAAAAAAGTTTTATTGAAGTATAAAAAATTTTTTATTGAATCTCATAACTACCATTTTGTTCTATGAACTTTTACCATCTTTCCAGCAGCTAGAAAATTCCTTTTTTGAAAGTCATTAGGTTTATTCGTAAAGATCTTATCAAGGTGCTATTTGACTTTGTTCAAAGAAGTGAACTCCAGGCCTTTCAGGGAATTTTGAAGTGACCCAAAGACATGAAAATCTGAGGGAGAAAGTTCTGGTGAATGTGGAGAGCGATGACCCATACTCAATAAATTTCTGTCTGACATTCATCAAAATTTGGGGCCAACCATTGTCATGACAAAAAACAGCATCTTGATGACTGGTCAGTTCTAGACACTTAGCTTCAATTTCTGATTTAAAAATCTGCCATTTGGGATTTTTTTTTTTTTTTTCAAATTATTGACTAATTTGTGGGCAATAGTTCATAAGAAACTGTTCCTTTTCGATTCCCACAATCAACAAAGTATTACTTTTTTGGGATACAGCCCCCCTCTTGATGTTCCTATAGGAGATTTATATTCTTCTGCTCATTTTTATTTTTATATTCTTCTGCAGCAACAGACTTAAATTCACAATCCTGGCTCAACTGTTTTTAAAATATTCATTTACAGACTCGCCCGTTTATTGGAATCTAGATGCTAAACAGTGCCAGGCAAATATTTCATTACTTTTAGTAATGTACAATGAATCTAGAACATTAATTGCATTATCATACAATTGTGAATCATTAATATATTGATAAACACATTGATACGAAATTACATAACAGGTGTAGTTTTCTTTCTTCAGTCGCCTCCTTCGCTTTTGTGAGAAAATTTGAAAAGTTCTTTTCAAGTGCTTTCCATTTAGATTCTGTTCCAACACATTTAGAATCAACATAAAATCTTTCTGGTTTCATAAGCGTTTCCAATTTGAAAAAAAAAAAAAAAAGTATAAATTATTTTTATTTGATTAACTTGTTGTAAATTTAGTAAATCACTTTCTTTAAGAAGCTGAAATGGAACTAATCAACTAAAACTGCACATAGAACTGAACATGAATATAGAATGATTAGAATGAGCACATTAAATGAGTAAATCACTCTCTTTAAGAAGCTGAAATAAAGCTTTAATCAACTAAAACTGCACATAGAACTGAACATCAAATGCTACTTTGTGAGAACAGTTGACTGTTGCGATTGGGGCTTTTCTTTCCTTAAAAGTCTCAACCTCTGTACAAGTGCTCTGTTCCTAAGTGTGAGGGAAAGACAGGCCTGCATGCAGAAGTTAGAATTGATTTATAAGGCATGTTTACTATGGGTGCACTCCAATTGAATTTATAATTTATCTCGAAAACTGAGAAGGTTTCGGTGGACTCCCTCACAATTTAAGCTCTGGTTACCAGACTGTGAATATTGCTGTAGTTACTATCTGAAAGCCCTAACAAGCAACTGTTGAAGTGAGTGAAGGAATAATGTTAAGTATTGGCACAATTTGTGTAATCATTGTTTTGTTTTTAGTTACAATTCTTTTTAATAACTGTATTCCAGTTAGATAAAATTCTTAACTTTTTTAAGGATAAAGATATAAGACTGGATCCTCTGGCCCTTGACACATCTAAAAGACATACTTTCTTGTTAACAGATACATAAACCAAATAAATACCTAAAATTTGTCCTCTTTTGAACTCCAGTGAAATCCTCATTTATGTACTTTTATTATCAGTGTAATATTCCTGCTCTGATACTGCTGAAAATTGAGACTTTTTTTGCTAGTGATAAAATTAAAATCATTCAGGGTTCACAACCACAAGTGCATATAATGATATGAAATGCTATATTTGGTAAGTATTTGATTGTCAACCCTTGGTATGTTTTCCATATTATATGAATGCTTCTAGTGCTCATATATGGTGATAATATCAATTTCCATGGGCTTTTGATCGCACAATTGATATAAAGAATGGGTTGTTTATTGAGTTAAGGCTTAAAACTGCAATAGAATACAGAAAAGTTGGCAATCTTACATTTGGATCATATCACTTTTTTATTATTTTTTTTTATCCTTTACCGCTCAAAAAAGACACATAAAAGTAAAAAAAAAAAAAAAAAAAAAATACTAATAATAATAAATATTTCTAAAAATTGAAAAAGAGATGGAGGCTGTCTAAAAGTGATTAAAAATGATTAAAAGAAGAGTTTTGTAAGTGTGTATATCTGGGTGATTTCTTAAATCTAAAATCGTTTTGGAAATTCATTTTAGTTATGGAAGGAAAATTCATTCTTTAGCATTTTGATCATATTAAATGACTGTAGTAAATGATGAATTACCAGTATTTTTGTATACAGTTAGGCAAGATCGTTACTTCAATCCGAATATGTGCATAATAACATTAATTACGATTACATTCATTTTTAGCATTATGTAGTTGAAATAAAATTTTAGTGATAATGGCTAATCATTTTGAGCCAACATATGCCTGATTGGTTAAAGCTATAAAAGAGTGAGAACTCTTTCCAGGTTTGATACCTGGTGGTTCCTAAGGCTAGCTACATGAGGTTTTCCTCATATGTGATATAAAATATGTGCCAAATTTTTTTTAAGAAGCCCTCCCCCATTTAGATGTTGATCAAATTAATCTACTGTAATGAACAATGAATTTTCTACATTTTTCGTTAACAAACAGGTGAGATGTTGATTTCAGTAGCAAAATTTGACTGATATCATTAAGTGGTAACAATAATCATTTATAGCTAACTAGTGACTGAGTGACTAAAGCCACAAGGTACTTGGATTTAATTTGTTGATTGAAATGGCCAACTGCTTGAGTTTTTCTCCACGTCTTAATTAAAATTCAGTGTTTTCTCTAGGAAGTCCTCAACAAAGAATCATTTTCTCCATAAGCATTTATTGCTTAGCCTTGTTCATAGGCAGGCTTCTAACAATCGTTCACATTTATGAAGAAAAACTGTACTTGCTCAGTTTAATTTTCTTTCATAAAACATATGTGTGATTGTAGAATCTGTATGTATCTAATACAAAGGTAAATGATTGTCTTGTTCAAATTTTGACAGATTTATTCCAGGTAACTTTTCCTGTCTCACATTTTGTACACATAGATTTTGTATTCAATTTCTTTTATAATGTTACTATTTTAGCATTCTAGTATCTACATCAGAAACTTAGTATCTGATAATAACTTGAAAAATAATAACAAAATGAAGCGAAACACAATAGAAAGAAGTACTGGATATACCAAGTCAGAAAACAATTGGAATTTAATTTTCATTTAAAGTGTGTAATTTTGTGTTTGTATTTATGCTGTAAGTTTGAGCAATATGAATAATTTCCTGGAGTTTGTACTGTATAAGGGATGCAGTATTTTTTTTTCTTTCAGATTAAAAGTTGCTAAGGTGCCTTTAGCTGGTAGTCCTCCTTTCATTAGTCCAGAAAATAAAGAAAATAGGCCTCTGCCTTTTATGCATGTTGGTAGTGTGCTTGGTGTATTAAATTCATCCAACAGCCAGTTAGAAAACTTATTATTCTGGAGAGATTATTATGGGGATGATGAAAACTGTAAGTTGTATTGTTTTCTGTAATCGTGTTTCTCTTTCAGAGTTTACCAGCTAGCTCTGTTTGTAATATGAACTGTTTGTTTATAGCTCAAATGAGCACATCCCCCCCCAAATAAATCATAGATGTATTTTTATTTATTTTGGAAATAATTTATCTGAATCTTTTTTTATGATTTAGATTTATTATTCTGTTTGATGTAGCAGCTGTAATGCATAGTCCAAAAGCAGAATGATTTCTTCTTTTTTGAATAATATGTACTTTAATAGCTATATCTTAAAGCATATTATTATGACTGTTGCATCCAGCCAAACCACTTACCTAATGTGATGTAAATCTTCCCTTCACAGCAAAATAGCTGTGACTTAAAGAGACAGAATATTTTCAACAGAATGATGCAGATTTCTTTTTTTTTTTTTTTAATCTTTGGTTCCATGATTGCAAAAAAGAATCTTTCACTTCCAGTTAATTGCATGGTTTGGAAGATGTTGCATATAACCCTTTCTTCAACTCCAACAATAAATAGCCAATGGATTCATTTCTGAGAAATTTAGGAGCCATGACTGTAAAAAGAATGTTTTTTTCAGGTTCTTGAATCTATTTCTTAACCTCCTCCAGTTGCTAAATTTCTTTTAAGCCTTCATTTGCCAAATTCTTTCAGCTATTGTTGATGACATTAATTCCAATCCAATTTTTCCGATTTTTTTTAAAGCTTGAAATTTTGATTCTTTGCAGTTTGATTTTTTTGATGCATTGTGCAGGCTATATGAAAAATTATGCCATGCCAAAAAAAAGTAAGCAAAATATTTTGTGGTCTGGATATAACCAGAATTCTAGATTTTTAACTTCACAAATTTGGAATTTTCGGATTTGTGAGATATGGACTCTGTAATTAGAAATTTTGAAAATGAAAATCTTTTTCAAATGTTGTTTTAGAGCAATTATATCATCCTGAGATTACATAAATTTAAAACTTTAAAGCCATAGAAAATTCAGTCAGAGGTAAAACTTTTTATCTGAGAAAACTAAATTCCTCTTATATAAAAAAAATGTTCTTGTAGTTTGTCTTGGAACAGAAATAGAAGAAAATGATGTAAATTTTTGGCTGAAGTATTCAGACTAAAAGAAGGCATGAAATCATTTTTAACTTGCTTCTGTTGACCTGTTGTTGAATGTTCATTTGATTATGTGAGTGATATTACATCAGAATGAAGAACTTCCTTGAGCAAAAGTAGTTTAGGGGCTGCACAGATTGAAATGTTATTTATTCTCATTCTACAAAACTATATAGGAAACTTGTGTCTGATGACTATTGATAAAATTTTTAGGAATAATTTATTGCATAACTGGACAGCTTATTATCCTTCTTCATATTTAGTGAACCATACCCTTCTTTCTAACAATTCCTCATCTGCAACATTTGTTGATGATTTGTTGACGTTCTAGTCTAATACTGAAGTAAAATCCATTGTCTACATTAAAATATTTTGCTTATCTCGCTGAATTTCAATTGATCGCAAAGAAAGGTGTAAACACTGTAGTTCCCAAAATGTGCCTTCTCACCTTTACCCGAACAAAGGAATCTTAGCATAGCAATTATTTTTTTTTAATTTGTTGAGGAAACATAGATGGGCAACTGTTTGAATTGATATTGCAAGGGTAAATGTATTCTTAATAAATTTTAAAAACATATTTTTTTCTTCATTAGTGAAGCAGTTTGAAAATATGTGTGTATGCATGTATTTAACTGTTTCGTAACAATATTCAGAATTATTTGAAATTATTTATGGTTTTTACTGTGCAGGAATATGAGAGATATGCAAACATTTATTAGAATGACATAAAATGCAACAAAAACTTCATTCCAACAGGGGAAAAAACTGATTATTATAACACATTTACATATTATAAATATTCAACTAAATAAAGATCACCTTTCCTTTCCCTTGCATTACACTTTTGTCTGAATTTATTCTCACAGAATATTTTAATAGCATCATCAAGTGAAATAGAAGTTGCAGCATCAGATTCAATTGATAAATCTCCTAAATTGTCATATCTGTTTTTGGGTGTAGTTGAACGTAAGTTGCTTTTAATTAATTTCATGCATAAAAATGAACGTTCCAAAGGAAAAGTGCTGACTTCCATTGATTTGTAAATTCGTAAAACTATATCAATGTTAGGGAAAATATCAAGCAGATTTTTCGATCTCTAAAATTCCAATAGCGCAGGTTGTTGATATTTACATGTTTTTTTGAGGTCCAAGATCTCTTCAAACTAGATCATCTAAAACAGTAGTTCTCAACCTTTTGACTAACACGTACCATCTAAACAAAAACTGAAATCCTTTAGTACACCGCTACAAAGTAGTCCTATCACCATCACTCTTGAACAAAGCTCAGATCGCATAAATTTATGAGTGCTAGAGAAAAAAACTCAATCAGGATGTTGGGCTTTTAATTTTTGAATTTAATAGTTAAAAATACTTTGCTTCTTTCCATACCACGTGTTGAGAGCCCCTGATCTAGAAAATCCTGTGAATACACTTCACATATTTTTAAAGCTTCACTCCTTATTTCTCCAAAAGAGAGTTTATGAAATTTAAAAAGAATGTAGAAATTTTGAACACTCTGTCATACAGTCAAAAGTCGTTAATCCGGACTCGTCGGGATTTCGGCGATTCCGGATTATCGATTTTTCCAGATTATAGATCATCAGTTTAAATCTCGTAAGATGGCATGCAGAAATTCTAAAATTAAAAATATGAAACCGTAATTTATGAAATGAAGAACAATTATGATCTAAAGGGTATCAAAATTTACAAAAAGAAAAAGCTTAATATTTATTATATATTAGCTTTATATTATTTAATATTTATTATATATAAAGCTTAATATATATTTGTTTACTTTATTAAACATTTCTTTCAATGTAAGTTGTTTAAGTTGCTTCATTTTATGTGATAATACTTTCTCTTTAATTCTATAAACAGACATAATTTCTTGTTTAGTTACAAAGTTCCGCTGTTCAAGTCACGTAATTGCTGTGTCGAGAATACCGACTAACTTGTCAATCAAAATTTTTTCGTTTTCACTAACCTCTCTGTCACCTTCTTCATATCTTTATCCATTTTTTGCAGCAGTTCCACTTTTTGTTTGTTGGACATCGAAACATACTTTCATTTTGTAGATCCTTTGGAAGTTCCAGCATCAGAAATTCTATTTGACATAATCGAAAGTTCAAGTTTACTTTTATAAAATTGCTCTTACAGTCTTCAAAAAATAATAAGCGGGATCCAATTCGAAGATTAAGGAACAACGCAATCATTAACATTAACTGAAATAGATAATTAAATAATTTTAGCTTACACCGTCCGTTATACATTAAATGCGCAGGCGAAAACGTATTCTGCACTTGCACACACGCATATGCGCAGTAGTCAAGGTCTTACGCGTGCGCGTAAGTTTTTAGCTTTGAGGTCCGGATTATAGATCATTCCGGATTATGGGTGTCCGAATTAATGACTTTTGACTGTACTCACATTTTCAGCAGACCAAATCCGAGATTAATTGTTCCACACTTGTAACTACATTTGTTTTGAAATCAAACTTAGCACCAAACAGAACTTAATCGTCACTTTCATCAAAATAGTGCTTTCTCTTTCTGACATGCTTTTTGCTTGCAGTGTAGTTCTGCTTACCAGTCAACACCTTGGCGTCCTCTTCAAAGGTTGCAAAGCACTCACGTGGAGCTGAAGTAAATGAAATTAAGGATTTGTACAAATCTATGACCAGTATAATATCTGCATCTTACTATTGTAGTTTTTTAATGACTACATTGATACAATTCAGAATATTACTCCAAAAGCAGTTATAAACACAGTTTCAAATCTGGTGATTTTGTTGATTAATCCTGCTGCTTCTGCCTTTGTAATCACCTTCCCTGAACTGTCATTTGAGATTGATTTCAGAGAATCATGAATTTCTTTCCAAGACTTCAATACACCTTTGCAGACATTATCTCTGCATGACCATCTCATGGGTGACAGACTGTTTGGTGTTTTTTGTACATAGTTTTTCTTCAGTTTCTTCCAGCACATTGTGGATACCTAAAAGAAGTTGTAGATTTCTTGCAGAAATGCAAAATAATTCGTAAATTCATTACAACAACTAACTGCTGAAGTTCCAACTAGGTACAGAGAACAGGGTGTAAATTCGGCAAATTTATTTGCATTTTTTGCATACTTGGAGATCGGTATAGACTCCTGACATGCTCACAGCATTATTATACAACTGACCTCTACAATTGTCTAATTTAACATCAAGTGATGCCAAGGTGTTAGTTATAACATTGTACAATTCCCCAGATGTATGTCCAGTATTTGTTACAAGTGGTTAGGAATACTGTTGATGTTCCTCATTCTTGGGTATATCTCTTGATAATTGATAACTGTAAGATATGTTGAATCCACAATTATGGAGAAATATTTAGCTGTCATTACACTGGCAGATGCTCTGCACTTTTGAGGCATTATATGTACCACTTCATTGTACATCATAGACGAAAGATAATTTGTATTTGCACTACCTGGGCTCCCAAAATTCTTGAGATGTTCCTTCAAGAGTGGATCAAAGTAAGCCGAAAACTTCACTGTTATTAAAAAGTTTCCATTGTGACTTGATCTGAAAACTTCATCAGAAGCTCTCAACAAGAGACTATGACTTGTGAACTTTCTTACAATGATGACAGCAGGTTGTAAAGCTTCCATCCAATAATGTTTTCTTAGACAACTTCTGCATTAAATAAAGTGCTTAAATTCTTAATATAAACCGTTGCTGTGAGAGCCACCACAGAATTTTGGTTATTTGTAGATTCATCGTGCTTTTCTACACATTGTTTCAGGTTTTTTCAATCTCTGAATCCTTTATCTGTGCTAAAATATCTGCCCACTAATAAAAACGACAAGACCCACAGTAAATACAGTCAAGAGTTGTTAATCCGGA